ATCAATCATCTTCGAAAATAAAATTTCTGGGAATCCGTCTACGATTTCGTAGCATAAAAATTTCTTGAATAAATCTCGTTTTCAGCAATCCAGTTGAAATCTCTGCTAATTTGGAAATCTTTGTCAATTTGTCTTAAAATTTATTAATCTATATGAACGTAAATCAAATTCATTTTAATGAACGTTCAAAGTACTGTTTTCGAAAACAATGTTTAAACTTTTTGCGCAAAAGTAGATGTGAAAGAAATTTTTCGCCTGGAATATATTATTTCAAGGTGTAAGATAACAATTATAAGATTATTTAAAGCCAAAAAAAAAATAATTCTAAAAATATAAACATTTATTGTTTTTATTGTTCTTAGTCTGCAACAGCTGCAGTTGCATTTAACGATGACTAATTAGTTTCGAGGTATGCTATCGAGAGTTCATCACACATTTAATACATAGATAGCTTTATTTTAATTCCTGTGTTTTAACTCAGCTAGTATTCAATTACCTTTCATCACTCAGTATTTTTAAATTAAAGAGAAAAGTATAGGACGGAAGATATAAAAAAGTTTTCAGTACTTAAATTGATGATAAGATGGCAAAAAATAGCTGTATTAAGTATAAGATAAATATTCGTGTCAGTTTATTCAAATTAATATGTCTTTTTTTTTAATTCTATTTTAAGTGAAAAATGAGTATGTTTCGTTTGACAGCATATGCTCTAAATTTTAAAAAACTACAAATTATTCTCAGATTCTAATAGCTCGAAACTTGAATCCAGAATCATCTCGTCTATCGAACAAATACAGTTAACTACAGAATTAACCGGAGCCGTTAACTATTTCGGAAAAATTTTCCGTTTTACGATGTGATTTAGTAATTTGACCGTGATGTGACCGGTCACAAATTATTCAGAATATTTATCCTCCAAATGTTAAAGTAATAATATTAAGACATTAATTCAATCATCTCAGTGATACTTGTCAATATCTGTTAACCACTGATAAAGACCATGTGTCCCCATTCCTCATCAACTGAACTGAACTAATATTTTCGTTTCTCGCATTCCATATTTCGAACAACAAAATACATAAAAATTCTTTGAATGTAAGTACTTCGGCTTCTAAATTCACATCTCAAATCTTGATATAAATTAAATCTGGTAAACTAAAAAATTTTCTTCTTTGCTGCAGTAGCATGCCAGATTTTAATTCACATAAATATATCGCATATGGTGCGTTTTTAACAGACGTGATAGAGTATGGGCTTAGCTTATATAATTTAACCATACCAAGGGGATGCTCTTTACTTTAGAAATTAATTAAAATGTAGACCTCGAAATAAGTAGACACATCATTATAGGCGTAGAATGATTCCAAACCACTCTCTATTTTGTGAAAATAATACGTGATACCTACTTGCTGCTTGAGCTGACAGTCTGTAATTTATTTAATTTTAGAGAAACAGGTTTTTCAATCTTAGTATAATCAACGTATACGAAAAACAATTTTTCCAATTCATCACATGGCGAAGGATTTACGTTTAACTATACATAAAGTGAGTATGGTGTACCTCCTAGGCTATCTAAAGTTTAATTTGTAAAATGTGTAAATTTTTTCTATGATAACTGAGATTTCAGGTCAAACAGAACTCACTGTTCTTTTAATAATGTTTTATTGATATAAGGATGTAAAAATGCTCATCAGAAGTCATTTGCTTTGTGTGTCGCATAGACTGTCTGCTTTTAAAAATTGGAGAAATTTAACTAAGATATCTAGGATAACATTTGAATATTTTACGGGGATACGTGTAGAGATACTTGTTAATGAAACTGTACCGAGAAAGAGATATGAAAGGTAGCGTATATATTCATTGATAGTGATAAAAGTACGTTCAAATCATCGTTATTTTAAAATCCTGAAGGCCACATTGTAGATTCCTGTTATATTTTACCATTTAACCTTTTTTCTTTATCCGTTTTTTGCTTAGATATTATTTCCTCGCTATTTGCAGTTTGAAGGCCATACTAGTTGTTATTTCTGTTATCAATAACTATTGATTTTATTGCTTATCGTGGCTGTCAGTCTTATGCAATCTCCAATTGAAAATACCAATGTCAGTATTATTTTGTTTAACGTACTTCTTGGTATTTTGTCTCAACTGCTTGAAAAGATTTGTAATACTGGCATCAGTGCTTCAGAATCTTACGTGCTAATATTATACTTTTCTTGATATTTAACGTACATATCAGGCTTCCTAGTTTATCAGCCAAAATATGTGATAGTATTCATTGACCTGAAAGTTTTGGGTAGGACAGCGTCTACTTGTTTGTTGAGGAAATTTCTTTTATTGATTTGCATTCTTGCTTCCTTTCAGTGAAACTGGCTTGACATTCTGTGTCATTCCGATCGTCTTTTGCTTCTGTGGTTGTTTTCGCTTGGCTATTTTCTACTACTGATAACTTGCTGCTTCTCAGTTTGTTTGGCTTTGTCTACCCCCTGTATTCCTGTGACGGATGTATACTAGAACTAACTTGTTTCCCTGTTGTGTACTCAAGTGGAAGGCAAGAGGAGTGGGTTAAAAAACGGTTTCTAGCTATCTTCTGTCTCTCCGAACAAACTGCGGCGTGTAATTTGATTTGGTTGCAGTTTTCGCAAGGATACATTTCCCGGAGTGCAATGGGTTCGGCGGACTCTGGAATAGTGAAGAAGAGAGAAGGATAAGACAAATTCGGCGTTCGAGTATGGAACGCAAACAAGAGACTCCGAAACATCAACATAGGCTCGACGGGTTTGCTTCCCAAACACTTTAAAGCGCGTGCAGAGGGAGAGCTCGCGCAAAAATGAATTTCGCTCATCCCCCTCTCCAATATTTGCTCTCTCTCTGCTACGGGCTTGCAGTTGCGGACCTGACGTCAATTGTTTTCCCGAAATCCGCTTCTCTTCCGTTTGCTTTTCCTATTTTTGGCGTTTGTTTTCTTTTATCGGTACCGCGTACAAGACATGGGATCTGTTTGTCCGCTCTCGAGACTTCCCCGGCTTTCTGCCTGGGTACATTTGGAAATGTTTATCTGTAAACTTTTACTATCGTTATACGCCGTTATCCGATTTTGAGAGATTCCTGGCTGCTGATCAAGGATTTTCTGGTAGAAATTGTTAACTTATTCAATTTCAAAGCAGTATTTGGATCTTTAGTACCAATTAAAAGAATCTCTGTACTGTGTAATTTGCAAGAAATGTCTGTATAGTAAAATGATGTAAGAGTCCTAGCTCATTAACTCACTTCTAATGCTAAGCCCTGTTTATCTTGGAGGTTTACCACCACACACAAACACATTGCTTTAAGTAGAAAATAATACGACAATAGGTACAATAACCTGAACGTTTTCTTGATTCGTATAGATATTAAGACAGTACTAAAACTATATTGACCATAAAGATTCCGCTGCAGACATTGTAGAAATTAGCATACAAACTAAAGGCTGCAAATTTTGCAGGAACAAACACAAACTAGACGTTCAGCAATAGAAACTTAGCGCATAATTTTAATATGAGCAAAATTTAAGTGAAGGCACGGCTAACTAAACTACAGTATTCACCGTCTTAGTGCCGTGGCTAGTAAATTAAAGTGACTTTCCGCTACAGATACTACAATGTGCAGAGTGATTTTAGTAAATCTGCTAACTAAGATGAGCACAGATACAGAAAACTCACAACGGAACTCGCAGTTTAATAGTTCTCTGCATTAAACTGTTAAACAATGATGTCTTTAGATATCCTTCTGTATCTGCTTCATATAGTTAAATCCACATTATGACTGTTTTGCTTTCGATTATATGAACTAGTTTTTTTTTCTACAGTGAAAATTGTATCATCTAAGTAAAAAAACAGATTAATTCACTTTTGACTACATTTTCATAAACTCTGCAGAAGACACTAGACGCAGATTTCAAATTAATAAACAAATGTCCATATAATATTCATAATAATTATAATACCAATTAATAGTCCTCAAAACCTCAATTGTTCCGCTAAGTGTCGGGAAAAAATGGGAATGACTCTTGCTCAGAATTGACTTAAAAGGGTACAGAATGGCATAGCAAGCAAATAAAAGCTAATTACTCAATTATAAAATTAATGATTCAAGGACATTATTAAATTTCAAAATTCTTATACATTAAGAATTTCATCTCAAGTCTTTAAGAAAACTGAGCAGAAAAATTTTAGCGGTAAGTTAAAATAATTTGGGGGCTTGATGCTGTGACCGAATGCGGAAAACCAATAATTCCATCTGTTGGACAAGAAGTAAATTAGATCTTGCTTCATGAATAGGATTATGTTCTGAATTCTGACAGTGTGATTTCTATTTGTGTCTTATTTTTTGTGTTTGTGTCTTACATACTAATAAAAGAACTCTTACAAAGATTTTGAATGTAGATATTTTATCTCTTATGATTCTTATAAAGAGCGCTTTCCACCATTTGCCAAATTGTTAAAGACTTTTAAATAGTCGTAGTTCTCGAGTTCGAGCCTAGACGAGGACTGGGTGCATGGTTGGTTTTCGTGATTTTGCCCCACGCGTAATTCGAAATCGAGCCACTTTCCCTAGTATGTTTTTCCATATTCGTATAACCATCTAAACACTGCAGTTTTTAAAATTAAGTATAAAATCTATGTTAGTTGTTATGTCATTTAGTACCCTACAGTAAAAATGCAATGTCAATTCTTTTTAAAATAGGACTTCAGAAATAAATGACATCTTAAATTGCATTTTAAATTTCCTACGTTATCTTTTTGAATATGTTTGAAGAATTTAGAGTCCGAAAAATATTATTATTTTAAAATCAGAATATGAATAATGATATATGTATGTTTAAACGTACTCTGTTGCATTTTTATTTAATTTTGACACATATATTATATTTTTCTTGTATCATTTTCATGTGGTAACATTGTTTTTCTTTCTTTTTTCTGTGGCCTGCTTTTCTTCCGATCTCATCTTATGACACGCAGCTGTAAATGACGACCGGCAGGTAAGCAGTTCCTCTTCTCTTTTCTGTTTTCCGTTTTGTGAAGTTAGCAATTTTTCGTACAACGTAGTCATAAATTGCGTTCTTTTAGAGGCAAATGAAATATAAACCACACCCGATATAATATTTAAGATGCTTTTCTAGGAAGGCTAACTCAAAAAACTTCAGAGAAACTTCCTTTAAATTTCAGCGACCATTTTCTGTCATTATGCGTAGTATGATTATGGGAGTTTTGTAACTTTAATAATCCTTTTATATTTTCCCACATGGGTTTGCGTAACATTCTTTTATTTCTTCGAAATTTCCCTCACTTTGGATACTCATGGAGTTTAATTAATGCTTTAATCTTACGCACATGGGTAATTCTAACTTGAAAAGAAATATTTTGTTGTAACCGCAACACACTGAATATCTGATGAATTAGAGCTGACATGTTATAATCCACGATGTGGCCGAGAAAGCACTTAATGGAAATATCTTGAATTACGAGGTAGCGCAGCTTCATTCTTCATTTTAAATAAAACACGCCCGATTTGATTAAAGAGCAGTCGTTCAGATATGACATACGTTTTGAAAATGCCAAGTACAAAGTGACACTTTGTACTTTGAAAATGCCAAGTACAAAGGAATTTTCTCCTTTCTCACTGCGTTTCTTCTTGGAATACTAGGAAGCATGTGAGATTGGCAAACAAAAGATTCGGAGTTTAAATTGCTGTGTAGATATCGTTGAAGTTTTACGTTTCTGGCTTCAGAAAAATTCTACATCACTCTACAAGAGGCAGCAGAACTGAAATGGGAAGAACGATAATTCGCCGCCATTTGGATTTGGCGATTGAGTCCCCCTTCACTCCAGTCGCTCTTTAAATAACGAAGAATATAAGGAGGAAGATAGAAAAATACAAAATGAGGAACGTTAGCTTTCTTAAATGGAATTAAAGTCATTAACTGAAACCGACTGAGTCTGATGAAAGAAAGAAACTAGAAGGAAATATTTAAGGAATAGATATTAGGACAGACGCTTATTTTAAAATATAAATTATTTATTAAATAAAAATCAAGGAAAAGGTAAACAAATTACCCTTTCATTTTCTGTGTCCAGAACTTTCGTATTTTTTAAACCTAAACAGCTGGAAAAAAATGTGTTTATCTAGGTCTCAAATGTATTATAACCATGTTGCAGGCATAAAATGGTCTGTAGAATATGCATAAATTAAAGTCTGTTTTCAGTTTTTGTATATTTTCGTATAATTGCCCTTTTTTGCTTTCTAATTTTGCTTATTAAAATTGTGATTTAAAGAGCTATGGTTGTGAACTGAAAGACTTCTTTCATCTGTAATCTAATCCACTTTAAAAAGTAACAAAGCAATAGCAAAAGCAAAATCTATCAAAAAAAATTATTATTTTAAAAGGTTTATTTTGCTTGGCTGAAAAGGTTTTCTTTTCTTATTTTTAAGTAAAGCAAATTCTTTCTTCGGTGTGTAGTTGTATTACATTGCACGCGTTTTGGTTAAAACCTTATTCGGTGGTAGATTTCAGTAATTTTTGATAAATTCTGCAGCTTTCGACAACTCATATATTCTGAAATGAAAATAATTTTTCAACTGTCTTTCTAAATTTGCAATGGAACAAAATTTTTATACGAAGAAAAATTTTGTTTCGTTTGTCGCTTTTTAACTATATTAAATGCAAAATAAACCAATATTTGAACGTTTCACGATCTGTTATTTTTACCTTTTCCTGTGAGCGGAAATGAAATTAGAACGAGTTGCTTAACTTACTTTATTACATTTGACTTGGTCTTTAAATTTAATGTTGGATTAGATAATGGTAGAAAATTTCATACGGAAGTCTTTTTTTTTTTTTTTTTTTTTTTTTCAGGTATATGTAAGATGCATTTGTCTTAAAGGAAAGTGGATCGCAAACTTTGTCTCTTTATAAATTTCTAGACTGTTTTCAACAATTTAATTCTATAGTATTCAGTTTAAATACTTTAAATATTTGCAATTCTGATACAAATTACTAAACCGTAGAGTTTAATATGCTTATAGTTATTGGTACATTTTCTCATATTTTTTTTTTTAATTTTTGTTTAAACAAATGTTCGTGAAGGCTACAGGTTTTATTTCCTTAAATTTTGGGCCCACCAGCGGCCGAGCGGTAAAGTCGCTGAACACTGGTAGTTCGGTCCGAGGATTCGAATCCCGCGAATGGGCTGGCTGCATGGGTGTTTTCGTGGTTTTCTCCATGTGTAACGTGTATACGAGCCAGTTTCCCTTAGAAAGTCCTCCACGAAAGGCATCCCTCCTCTTAGGCAGATAGCCCTAGTGTGCTTTGCCATAATTAAATACACACACACCTTAAATTTTGATCTTAAACATGCGTTTTCGAATAGAAAGCTTGTCAAAATGAGATATAGAACCTTATAGGAACAGTTTCAGCAGTGATAATAAGAAAAATTCTGTGATAAATATTTAAAAATCTAACATTTTATATGGTCTCTGTAGATCAAAATGCCCAATCAGTAAAAAAATAATTATGCTTTAATAAATTAAATTCCATATCTTTATGTGCAAATTTCGTAAAGATATGCAAAAACGTAATGTCTGACTGACTTAAATCCAGGCTGACCATACAACAAATATATTTTGTACAAACTTAGGCAAGGAAACATACTAGACCTGAAAAAATATTAATTTTGTATTTGCATTTATTTCACTCTCTTTGCGACATTTTATGATATTACTATCATGTTATCATAGATAGAATCGCTACGTAGAATTACTAAATTAATATATGACCAATAAAAGTTTTTTAGAAATGTCAAAGCTCATCTAACTCTAATTATCTATTAAACGACTTTTTGGTTATTTAATTTTCTCTTTACTTTTACGAGTTAGTTATTTATAACTAACTCGAATTAATATTTCATTAATATTAATATTTCATTCATTTAATACGTCAATTATACATACAAGAACAACATATAATATATTTATTATTATTATTAAATTAATTGACTAGAGTCATTCTTCAAGGGAGTTTTTAGTGTACTAAACTCACGTCTCCTGCTGAAAACATATCTTTATGTCTTTCAGATATTGCTGTCGAATGAGGGAGGAGTAATATGGTTTTAGCAAATATTGTTACATCTAGAAGTACATATTCTCGTATATCATTTTTCATTTAAAAAAATCATTCTACAGCACTAGGATTTTTTTCGGTTGTAGAGTTTAATACGCTTGCCACTCATCCTAAGTGTCTAAAGTCTTGGTAGACGTCAAGCAAATTATCGGTGAGTCTAAAGTAACAGCTGAAACTTTGAAAGGGTGTAAAAGACCCTTTATTAAAACGAAATGAGAGCAGAAGGCAGGAAGATAAAAGAGAAGCTGAAGTAAGAAAAGAATTCAATTTTTTCTATAACAAAACTTATCTCTAAAACGTCATTGCAAATACAATTTTTAATCAAATTACCAGAATTTAAAAAATATGCACAGAAATTGAACAACCACAATAAGAAATTCTTCTTCTAAAATTGTACAAGAAAATGAATTTCCAATTAACTTCATTAACAGTCGACTTAAAAAAGCTGGAGAGGTCTACACCCTATAAAATTCTGAAGTAGTGAATATTTTATCTAAGAGCTCAAATAAAAGAAGGATCTTTTAGAGGGTTTTATAGTGTAATATATATATTATATTACTGTACATTTTTTCTTGATTATACTTTTATTAACAAAGGGTCTACTCTAGTCTAAGTCGAAAATTTTGTTTCTTTTCTAACATTTTTTCCTTTTTTTTTTGCGTTATTATAATGCTTGCCAAAATCTAAATTTCTAAAATTTGAAAATTCACGTTTTGGATCATTTCAAACTTTTCATCGACAAACTTTGGCCAGTGGCGCCAAACAAGCAGCCATTAACGTCTACTATTGCCTTTCGGATTGCTGTTCTTTTTTCTAACGCAGTAGTGAGATCAAAAATTATGATTGTCTGTTAATTATAATATTAATTAATTAATGTAATTATCTGGTTGTAACGAAGGTTTTCCCCAAGAAAACGTTCTTAATAAAGTTAGAAAAAAAAACATGAAAGCTATACCTTTAGTGCAGGTAGTAATAAACACCGAAATCTATGATTTTCTGCCAACGTTTTGGTAGTTTTTCAAAGCCTTCGTACCAGAAACTTGGTAATCGTGAATCCAAAACAGATCAACATCATTTCGAAAGTTCTGTGCAGAATGGAAGATAGCACCAGCAAGATGTAGCTGCTAGTGGAAAAAAAAGGTAGAACGGTCCGAAAAAAGGTGAACGATGTCGGGTCTATATAAAGATTTCATTCGAGTCCCTACAGAGTCCAGCCTGGGAATGCAGACACATGTGGTCTTGCATATCGTGATGGAATATTACCTTTTTGCGCCGCAACTCACTTCGACGTTTTCCTTGATAACAGCCTCAACTTGGAACAGCATATCGCTGTGCACCTTGCTGTCGAGGGTTTTACCATTTTCCAGATACAGTTTGTGGATAATGCCACGGTAATCCCACCAGATACAAAGCATGATTATTTTATTAGTCAAATTGCTCTTTGCGATACTGCCGTCCTGCTCACCGGACGCAAACCAACCCCTTTTTTTGGTCTGTGTTGTTGAAATAAATCCACTGTTCATCACAACTGACGATCCAGTAAAGAATTTTGTCCTTCCGTTGATATTAGAGCAGATTAGTGCAGGCCCGAACACGTGTGTCCTTATCTGCTTCAGTCAACGCATGCGGCACCCAGCGAGTAAACTTGTACATCAGGTTTATGCGATGCAAAACACGACTAATGGGCATAGTACTAACGTGTAACTCCTTAACAAGCTCTCAGGTGGTTGCATACGGATCTTCTTACGCAAGTTCTCGCAGACGGACCTCATCAACATCAGTAGACCGGTCAGAGCGCTTTGCTTCTTGGATGTCATAGCCCTTGTTTCTGAACTTTTGGTACCAAACCTTCACAGTGTCGTATGATACAGCATGAGTACCTAAAGCTATACACATGATTTGGTGACATTCTATAGCTGATTTTTAAAACAGATCTGGAAGTAAATGATGGCTCTAATCTGGTGGTGTGATAGCTCCATTTCAGACACCTTGTATTTAATGATAACGGTATTTTTTACAGATTTCACAATGCAGTGTTCTAAAGCATGTCTCTTTATTTCTAATGCCAAGAATCGTTTTACAAAATATGCTTAAACACGCCAACGGGAACTGTTTGCGAAGACGATATTTATGGTGGTGAGAAACTTTCGTTAATCACATTTTAATTTGAACTTTAATATCAATATGTAGTGTCTATTTTTCTTTTAATTTTTTGGACATTGAATTTATTTCATATGGAATTGTTTTTGTAAATTTTCATTTCATATGAATGGAGAGTTGCGTCGGGGAGACATTCAGAATTTTGTGGTGAACTATTATAACTAAATTATTTAAGATGTTTCATCGGCTAATTTTGGATGAACAGACTCGAGAAAGGAGGGATTCGATTGCATCTGATTTACCTTCTCTTGATAACGTTGAATCAGATTTTGATAGAATTCCTCTTCCTATTTTTTGTATTTTTATGTGTTTGTATTGTTTTAGGAAATTCCTCTGGTTCGAAAACAATAAGCAGACTCTTTCTGAATGGAAAAATGTGTGCTTTTTTGCATCCTTGTATGAAGTAAAAAGGAAGCATTGTAAACGCGAAAATTTTCAGGCATCATATTTCAACGAAAATGTCCATTTTGACCGCTATCGAATGCAATTTAACGATGTTTTTGCGTGACATCTGTACGTAAGGACAGGATAAAAGACTCTTTTCCTCCAAAAAAATTATAAAACTGCTTTAAAATGAATTCTGAAGTGAACTTTTCGTAGCGTCTGTACGTACGTATCTCGCATAACTCGAAAACGAGTAGCCTCAAAACGTTGAAATTCTGTATATAGGACTGCTATAACATGTAGATGTGCACCTCGTATTTTGGTTGCAATCAGCCGCACCAAACATATATAAATATATGTATATATATATATATATATATATATTCACTCTGTTAACCGACTCAGTGATCTCAGTTTCTTTACTCTTATAATTTGGTAAGTTGTGCAGTTTTTGCTTTAAAAATGATTGAATTATGTTGTTTTTATCTTCTGCTTAAGGTTTTTATGCCTTTAGTAAATCTGCATGAAGTATTTATGGAGTTATGAACAA